ACATCACCTTCATTCAACCTGCTGCATAATCCGTCTCGGTACCTTCCGTTCCTTCTGGCGGACGACTGGCACGACGTTGGGTTTGCTGCCGGTAATTATAGGCGTCCAGCAGCAACTTGCAAGTAGTCGCAAGAAGAACAACTCGCACTACCAGCTTGAAAGGGCATACCATGGTAAAAGCCGTCTCAGCGGTGCACTCGACCTTTACGCTGCCGACACGCACGCACTCGCTCTTTCAAAAGACCCCAAGGAGAAATGAGAAGAAAAACAATAGGCAGAAGAAATTTAATTTGCCCCGTTCCCTGCGGAGACCTCCACGTTGCAAACCACGAGAAAAAACCTGCATGAGCGTCAGATTTCGTCAACGAATGCAAACACATCCTCGTTGAGCCACACAGAGAAGTTGTGCATGTGTGCGTGTGCGTGTGCGTGTGCGTGTGCGTGTGTGTGTGTGTGTGTGTGTGTGTGTCGGTGACAACAAAAAAAAAAAGAGTACTAATAATAATCACCACCGCAAGAGTATTATCATTAGCAATCATAGAGGAGCGACAGAGATGCAGCCACACAACCGCCCACGCAGAGGCACAAAAACAAGAATCAAAACGAGCATAAAACAAAAACACATATCACCCAATTAACCTCTAAGACGAAAAGGCAGCTCATGTTTTTTCACTTGTCGGGTCTCCCTTAAAGAAGGCCATTCTATTCTCTAACCTCAGTCATCTAGAAACGAATCAAAAGGGCAGCCTTATCACAAAGGTTCCCATGCCAGCATGCTTTGACGTATGCGCCAACGATCCTCTTTTCGGCTCTGCTGTGCAAGGAACTTATCCCTTTTCCACATATCCCGCATTTGTTGCCCGCGACGAACAGGATCTGACCGGTGTCGCAGCGTGGAACCGTCTGGTCCCAAGACGGCACATAACGGCGCGCCCAAGCCGCCACGGTACTTGTAACGAATATCCCCTGTGAAGCTGTAAATTGTGTTTGCACTTCGCTGGCTTAGTAAGACTCGACTAGGGCGCAGCGGCATTTGTGGTGTGGCCGGAGGGTGGTGTGGGCGAGCCCCGTAAAACATGGCCAGGTTTCTGGCGCCCTCCTCATGGGAACCAAACTCAGTATAATCATCCTCATATTCTTCTTCGTCCTCATCGTAGAGCTCTTCTGCGTCCCGAGGTTCGTATGGCCCCTCATCGCCGTATGTATTCGAGTAGAGGGTCTTTAGTCCCTTTTCATACCGCCTCATATGGCGACCTAACCTTGCCTGTGGGTTCACATGCACGGAATCCAAGGGATGCGGGGCACCATCCCCAATGCCCCTTGCCGTGCCACCGCCTGTCGGAATCATAATCGACGCTCTCGCTGAAACGGTATTGTTGCATCCCAAAGTCAAAGATTCCTTGGGGTCCACACCACGCCTACCCCGACGATCCCTCCTCATTGACTGCGTATGGCCCTCCACCACGACGCTTCCCCCACTGAGGCACGACGGTGGGTAACACTTTCCTCGACTGGGCTGGGCCGCCGCAACCCGCCCACGTCTCGGGTGCCTCCCGGTCCCTGTTGAGTTCATTGGCGTTGTGCGACCCTCACGGACAGAGTGGGAGGACAAACCAGGCCATTGTTTCTGTGAGGTGGAGGTCCGCCGCGGATTTCCCTCGTCGCTATCCACCTCAATGAGCTCATTTGCATGAGGAGCCATGGTCACGTCGTTGGCTGCACGTGGTGGGGACGTGGACGATGGACGGAATCCTTCGTTTCTCCCAACGGGAGAGAAGGATTGCCGCTGCAGCTGCAGCTGTTGCTGCTGCTCGGACTCACTGCGACGGGCATCCCGCACCTGCTGCAATGTGAGTGCAATGTCGTCTGCGGAGGGATTGTGATAGCCCAGCGAGAGCAGCACCCGCCGCACCTCGTCCACTTCAACAGCCTCTACGCTATTAGCCATTCTGCAAAGACAGACCTCGCGAGAGACGCCGTTCGTCCTATTCGCGTCCGCGGTGACGCGTGGGTTCTCTTCCCGACGTCAAGCCTGGGGCCAGACCTCCTTCGTATCGCCGAGGGACGGGCACAGCGGGAGGAAGTGAGAAAGGGGGATGTGCGGCCTGTAGAAATTTGTTTTCTACCAGGCACACCGATGAAGCTGGCTCTCTTTCTCCCGCTCTCTGCGCCGCACTTTCGGCTTCACTCGCCACGGTGGGCCACGGAAAGCCAAAGAGGAGCTTGTATGCTAGTGAAGTGGAGAAAGGAGGAAGAAGCAGGAGAGCCACTGAGAAGGGAGGTAGTGCAGCCAAAAAGCACACGCCCAGACGCACAAACAGGCGTACGGAGAAACAACAGAAAAGTGAGATAAACTAAAACGCATGAAGGTAGAGAGTCGCATGGGCGCCCAAAAAAAAACGGCGGAAATGCGGTGTTCCGGGAGTAGAGGAGGAAGGCAGCAGCAGAATCACTCTTCAACTAATTAGCCCCATAGTAATAAGCATAAATATATATGTGTTCGTGACGCCCACACACACACACGACATCAAGAAGAAAAAAAGCTCATGGATATACACACATATATATATATACCCAGCTTACACACGTTAGCGCTCGATTTTTTTTCCCCCACCTACTTTCGTGTTTTTGTTTTTCGTTGAGTGTTACCTCATGATTGTGCTGCCCGTTAACGTGTTTTCGTTTACTACTTTTCCACTTCCCCCATCCACCCGTTGCTTCTTTGGTCCTTGATCTCCAAGCAATGGAGGTGGCTCCGACTAAGTCAGGCATCTTTCAGGCGGCAGTGGTGGGCAAGGGAAAACACAGATCTACGCAGGAAGGTTGCGTACTTCTGTGCGTGTGTGTCTTGTCATATTCTGATGCTCTCTTCATAATGTCACGGTGAAACGCCATCAATATTCTTCTTCTTTCGTTCATTAACGAGTCTTAGCATTCACTTAATGTTATTATTAGCTTTCTTACCTTCTCTTGTGCTGGCCCCTGTTGCTGCTTATTTTCTCTCCTCTCTTCAGCAATGACAACTGTGACTCCTACAGAACCCGCCTACTCCAGACTCCATTTTTTTCTTCTTCTTTTTTCGTCTTCCCCCCTCCCTCCCCTGCTCATTCCGTAAGTTTCTGTCTGTCTCTTCGCTGTGCGTGCATCGCTGTGTCGTGTGGATGTGTCCGAGTGCAACAGGAGGAAAAAAGGGTGGTGGTGGTGGTGGTGGCGTCGTCGGCACAAGGGAGTCTGCTCCCGTGATGACTCCTTCGCTTTTCCTTCTCACGTTCTTTCCGTTTCCCCTTGATGGTTTGCGAGAAGAAGCGACTGTCGCTTGGTCACCTGTGTTTGCTTACCGCGACCCCACTTGCCTCTCTCGCGCTCTCGCCTTCTGCTCACTCACACTGTACCGCAACGTGCTCATAGAACGTGATTGCTTCACATCTCTCACGGCACCGTGTGCCTGCCGGTACTTGGCGTGCATTTTTTTTCTGGTGTGTGTGTGCGTGTGCCTCCTGTGCCATCTCCTCCGCCCCCTCACTTCTTCTTTATCCAGCGCCTTCGTTGCTGCCCGCCCGCGTCAAAAGAAACGTGAACATGCACTTCGCATGAAGCCTTCGCCGCATGCAAATAAGAGAGAGCAGTCGAGTGGGAAGCCGCCCATCACGCCCTCCCCCTTCTATCGTTCCTTGTACTTCTTTTTTTTTGTTTTTCTTTTAGTTGTTGTTGTTGTTTCATTTTGTTTATTCTTACTTTTTTTTTGCGCGCTTATATGGATCTCACCTTTTTTTTTATTCTTCTTCCCTATTACTTGTTCTTTGCATTCTTTTTTTTTGTCTTTGCGCACTGCACCAACCCGCAATTTGCGGCCCCCACCGGGCCGCATTTGCGCGGAGGCAGACGGGCCAGAAGGTACTCACCTCCTCCTTCCTGCTCCGCCCATCTCCGCCCTTCGCCTGCCTTTTCCCTTCACTGCGGCGGCGGGTGGTGGTGGTGGTGGTGGTTGGGTGGATTTTAACTCCCTCTTCGTTTTTTTTTTTGGTTCCTCGTGTTAGTTAATGTGGCAGGCAAAACTGCATGCGCGAAGAACTTCCGCTCTTTTTCTTTTATTATTATTATTACTTCTTCTTTTCTTTTTTTTCTTTCGGGTCGTCCTTCTTTTCGTGTTTGTTTGTTTACGTTGCGGCTGCGCTGGACGGCCAAAAGGCACCATTCGGTCCCCACCCCCGCAGCGCCGCCGCGGCGGTGTCGCCCTTCTCCGCGCCGCCTGCCCTCCGCGAATGCGAATGCCGCCCCCCGCCGTGTCCGCCCGGGAGGTGCCGTTGGGTTGCCCCTCCGCCGCCTGTGCGCGGGCTACTCGCCAAGGTACGCGGCGAAGTCCACCGGCAGCTCGTCGATCTGTGTGTGGTAGTGCGACTCAATCTCGCGCAGCACTTCAACGTCCTTTTGCGTCACAAAGTTAATCGCCACACCCTTGCGGCCGTAGCGGCCACCACGGCCAATGCGGTGCAGGTAGTTCTCCTTGTTGGTGGGCAGATCAAAGTTGATGACGATATTCACGTGGTGCACATCAATACCGCGGGCCACGAGGTCCGTCGTCACTAACACGCGGGAGCTCCCGTTGCGGAAGGTGCTCATGACCTTTTCGCGGTCCTGCTTCGGCATCTCGGAGTGCATGCAGCTGACGGTGTGATTGCTCTGGTTGAGCTGCTGCGCGAGCCAATCCACCTTGCGGCGGGTGTTGGCGAAGATCACGCTCTGCGCAATGCTCACCGTCTCGTAGAGGTCCATGAGGGTGTCGAGCTTGTGCTCCTCCTCCACCGCAATGAAGTACTGTTTGATGCCCTCCAGGGTCAGGCTCTCGCGCTTCACAAGAATACGCGTCGGCTCGCGCATGAACTTCTTCGTCAACTCCAGCACATCATCCGGCATTGTGGCGGAAAAGAGCGCCACCTGAACCTCCTTTGGCAGGTAACGGAAGACTTCATAGATTTGCTCAGCAAACCCCTGGGAAAGCATCTCATCGGCCTCGTCAAGGACAAAGACGCGGAGGTACTCCGTGCGCATCGCACCACGCTTGGTCACGTCCACTACACGGCCGGGTGTTCCAACGGCCACAATGCTGCCGGCCTGGAGCTTGCGGTAGTCGTCCTGCACTCGTGTTCCACCAACAAACGTCGCACAAAACGACTGGTTCCCCTCCGCGAGGAACTCGCCAATGCGGGTGATAACCTCCGCTGTCTGCAAAGCCAGTTCTCTGGTGGGGGAAAGCACAAGCCCCTGAAGAACTTTGTGGCGGAAGTCAAGGCGCTGCAGAAGACCAATGGAGAACGCGCCCGTCTTCCCAGTTCCGGACTGCGCCTGCGCGATGATGTCGCCACCACGCGTGAACGGGACGATGGCACGCTGCTGGATGCTGCTGGGCTTCTCAAAGCCGTGGGAGTAAATGCCACGGAGGAGGTTCTGGTGCAGCGGCATGTCGTCAAAGGACGGAATCGGACGAATTCCGGGCTGGTCATCCAAGAAGGAGTCCTGGTCCTGTGGCTCGACCTTTCCTTGCTGGGCCATCGTATTCCCTTCCTGGAAGGAGAAAAAAAAAAAACTGGCTGGTTCGCTGAAAAAAAACTGTCGTGACGACGAAAAGGAGGAGAGAAAAGGAAAGAAGAGAAAAAAAAAAAAGATGCGGCAAGCGGGGGTATCGTCTGCATGCGTTGGGAGGGGGGGGGGGGCGGTAGGACAGAAAGGGTTTGCAAAGAGGAAAAAACAAACAAACAAACAAAGAGACATCGCCCGTTCCATTTCCGCGCTCGTCTCACCGCGCCCCAGAAACACGAAGACGAGAAGACTTTTGGCGCATCGCCTCATCCGTCTCCTCCTCGTCAAACGGCTCCCCGCGCGGCAGCACCCAACACCCGAAGCAAGAGCAGCAGGAGCGGACCGGGGTGGGCGAGAGGAGGGCCAAAGCAGAGCACTCACACGTTTTCCCCTCCTCCGTGTCCGTGGGGCACAAATACACCCGGCGGGAGGGAATCGTCACTGCCAAGGCGGAATTTGGGCCGTCATCGCGCCGCAGGTCCCACAGGCGAACAAACGGCCCAACGACGGAATAGTCCTCAACGGTAGTGGCTTGCGGCGACTCGCCTCTTGGGCCTCCCACTTGGCAGTGGGCTTCAAACCGGTTCCCGTGTCCAATGCGCTGCACGTTGGCAATATGAGAAAAGGGTTTGAAATGGTTGTAAGGGCCAATGGACATGGGCACAGCAGGGGGTGCGGCTGTGGCCGCGTCCTCGCCGCCCCGCTCGCCATTGATGATGCAGGCGTGCTCCTCCACAATACAGTAGACACCGAAGTCAATCGGTCCACGCTGGGCAACGATCACTGCAAACGGATGGACAACGCAACCGATAGAGAAATGTACAGGGTGCGGCCCCTCCACCACCGCCAGTGGACTAATGCAGTTGTCCGAAAGTCCTTCCTTCGCCACGGTGGTCATGGCCGCCTGTATGTTTTTCTTGAGGGGGATATGAAAGGGGTGGGGGGAGGGGGAAGCACGGCGGTGGCGCCAGTGAAGACACGCCGCCTCCGCCTCCTATGCATCGTTGAGGCAAGCAAGAAGACGACACACACGCACACAAAGAAAAAAAAAAGGGGGCAAAAAAAAACGACACGATACAGAAATGAAGCTAGCAGTAAAAAGAAATACAAGCCCGCGAAGAGCCAAAGCCCGCGGAATAGGCAGCCGGGCAGCACAGGTGGCGGCGGACACGCAACTTCAATGTATATTGAATGCGCGTGGGTGCGTTTCGCTGGTTAGAAACAGCAGCCACTTTGCAAAAATAAAATAAAAGGAAAAGAAAGTAAGCAAAAAAATCTCTTATTTTGTACCCCACAACACATACAGACTGAGAGAGAGAAAAAGGGAGGGGAGAGGGAGAGAGAGGAGAGGGGAGAAAGGAAAGGAGGGAAGAGAAATATGAGGATGTGCCTGGTAAAACAGGAGGAGAAAAATAGTGCTTCCGTGCGCGCTGAGTGTCCCCCCACTGAAGCGTGGACTTCTCCCAAACACAAACACACATAAAAAAAAACACAGTAATTTCAATAGACTGATGGGGTGGATTGCCAGGGTTCCTCGTTTATAGCTCACAGAGTGGCAGTCTGTGCCCCCCGCCGCCGTCGCCGAAATTCCCTCCGCGTAAAGGATGCCGCGGCAGCACTAGCAGCAGAGATGTAACTTGGGACGATAGGAGCACATATTTATGTTTATATTTACATTCCCACCCATTCAATGGTGTTCGCCTTCACAGGGCGGTCTCCCTTGTCTGCATGCATGTCAAGCCAAACTGTTACTCGCCCCCTCTCCAGCGCCGCAGCCGGAGGCCGCACCTTCGGCAGCAGCCACCCACTGGGCCCGCAGCAAGGCGTGGGCGCCTTGCCGCTCCTCCGGGTTCCATTGCAGGCACCTCCTTAAGAAGTCTTCAAACGCCGCCCCCTCCTCCTTCCCCAGCCGCCGCTGAATTTGTTCCCGCAGCCTCTGCCAGGCTGGAGTCGCCCTGCGGCAGCAAGAATGGGCCGCCGAAACGCGTCGCCGAGTGCTGCTCCCGCCTAACGAGACATCTGCGGACTTGACCTCGTGTGCAGCTTCAGAGAACTCCTCGGAGGCATCGCCGCCAAGGCACGTACACAAAAACAAGGAATTCGTCTCACCGCTATCATTAGAATACATCTGCATTTGCTCAGATTTCCCAAGAAAGAGAAATCGACCGTGAGAGTCAAAAAACTCTCGCACATATTCGCCCAGAGGAGTAGCAAGAATATAGCGCGGCGCCGGGGCACCAAGAAGAAGTATGATGCTGCGCAAGTGGTACACGTCAATATTCTTTTCACGTTCATCGAAGTAAACAGCGCGACTCCAAAAAGCATGAGGGGTACGCCCTTTGTCGCGCTCCGCAGAAACGGCGCCTGCCCCATTGACACCAAGAACTTCCGCGGCAATGGAAGGGTTCTGCTCTCGCTCGCATGGCGTTGCCGCCTGCTCCTCCTTCTCGCGCTCCGAGGCCTCCATAAAATCCCGAACAGGGTCAAAAAGAGGGCGGTCAAAGAGAAGCTCAAAAGCAATGCAGCCCACAGACCAAATATCCAGGGTCGCATTATAGTCCTTCCCCAATATAATCTCTGGGGAGCGGTACTCCCGCGACTGAAGCAACACACCACGTTTATAGTCGTGCCTCGACAGGAGATCCCGCTCCAAGTCGTCCACAAGGCTCGTTGTGCACATGGACGGGGAGAACACGTGTAGGGAAGATGCCAGCTGACGCGACACATCGAGGCTCGACATCCGGCCTCTGGCCCCTGGCGACTGAAGCCCTGACACGCTGAGGGCGGAAACACTGTCACCCACGGGTCGAGTGCTGGTTTGGGCCTGCAGCCCCGCCTCATCCACCGTATTTTCCCTGAATTTCCTGCAGCTGGCCGGCCCATCCTTTTCGACGGCGTCATGGCCGTGCCTCAAGCTGGGAGGCAGCATCATGGCGTGGTCAAAGTCAGCCAGCTGCACCGCGTAAAGGGGCTTTCCCCTCGCCCAAGACGGACTTGCTCCCTTAAAGAGTTGACGAGAAGTGTTGCAGGCACTTTGATAACGCCCCGTGCGAGGGGTCTCAACGATATCATTCCAACTCGGCCGCGGTGAGACCACGGGGCTCTCGCCTGCTCCAGTTCGGGAGGAACGCGTCGTGGACGCGCGTCCGTGCGACGCCCGCAGTTTTGACCCCGTCGACGCAGAGTCGCCAAAATGTTCTGCAAGGAAAGTTTTTAGGCCGTTTGTCGTGCCCGCTTCGCAGTCCGGGAAGAGAATATTTGCCGGCTTAACGTCCGTGTGAAGAATATGCATCGTCGCCAGCAGTGCGAGGCACTCCAAAACTGAGCGAATAATACCACTGGCAGCACTCACCGGCACCCCCCCGGGCCCCCTCTCACCCACGAACTCTTCCAGAGAAACCCCCATCGCATCCATAACGATGCAGTGGTGCACGCCAGACGCGCCTTGGTGGGTGAAGCGGTCCCGCATAGAAGGCAGATGGCCTGCCGTGGATGGCAGGGTCACCTCCTCAGAGTTGCTTTGAGAGTCGCCTTCGGAATGGCGGCTGCAGCCAGAGAAGTTGGCAGGCGAACCATCCCCAGTCGGTGCTGCCGGCAATGTGTGCACGGTGGACATCTCATGTGAGTCCACACCGGAGAAAGGGAGGGAAACCTGCCGCTGCAGCCACACAGCCTTTTTAAATTCTCTGATGTACGCCAACACCAACGCCTCCCGTTCGGCAAGCTCCTCATACATCGAACCGCAGCGGAACACCTTGATGGCAACCAAGAGCGGTTGGTCCAGGGAAGAAAAATGCATGCACAGCTGATGCTCGTCAATTTCGCGGATGAGCTGACGGCGGGAAACAGTAAACTGATGTAGGTCCACCGCAAGCCACACACGACTGCTGCGACCACAACCCAACTGACGAACCAAGGCAAATCGGTTTTGGAAAACGTCGCCCGGAACGCAGGCGAGGTAGCCGTTTTTCCCAAAGCAGTTTTTGTCTCCGAAAGCCTCTTCTTCTACATCTTCCTGCGTCTCGGATAAATCCTCGCCGCTGTTGTAAGGAACATCCCGTGAAGCAGAATAATCAAGATGAAAAGGACCGCCGGAGTGGCTGGGGCGTGCGGTTTCCTCCGCCTCAGGTAGAGCAGCATCTCCCTCCTCGTCGTTGTCCTCGGCGTCTGGAGAGTCGTCACTATCGCACCCCACCCGTCGCCGGCGACGTCCCCTGTGCCCGTTGCTGGCAACGACGAAAGCGGCCTGTGTCTCCCACTGACGCACAAGGGCAGAAAAGCCGCTGATGCGGGGAACGGCGACCGGCCCGCCATCGTCGTGGTCGCGATTGGAGTTGATCGGCGTGATCTCGTCTTTGCCTGAAAGTGGAGAAATTGGCGTTGGCGGCGTGCCGGGATTAACTGGGCGCCCGGTTGGGCGCCTACGCACACTGTCAGGGGTGGCAACCTCGGCGCCGCCGCACACGCCGCTTGCAAGTAACTGCGACGCCCTCCTTCCCCCGCCGCCGTAAACATACATCATGTTCTGCTCCCGTGTCCATCGAAGCTGTTCCATGACCGGCTCCAGCGCGCACGCGACACCCAAGTTGCCGACCGTGCTATCGTGCGTCGTGCGCCACACCTCAAGCCAATTCATGTTCGGCGGTGGCAGGCCTTGAGCGTGCGCCGGCATCACCGCGAGTCCTCCCCCGCCCTCACCACACAGAGAGCTACCAACGCCCCGTCCCCCAACGGAAGCCCCTCTGCCTCAGTGGCGCACACCAATCGGCAAAACGAAGAAGAGAAATAGAAATAGAAAAAGAAAAAGAAAAAGCGAAGGATTTAGTTCAGCCAGTAATCGCTCGGCCCATCCGTGTTGCTTCACATGCAGTTCAACTGGAAGGAGCGCGGTTTCAGGAAACATCAAAAAAAAACACGGTGTCAGAGGCAGGGAGAAAAGAATGCACGCACATCTTATATATGTACTTGAAGTGAACTAAAGAGGCAAGTTGCAGCCACCAATAACGTCGCTCCCCAATCATTCATGCGTCTTCTCCAGGACGCCTTCGGCACACCTTTTCTTCGCCTCTTGGAGTCCCAAGAGCGGCATGCCCCACTGCGTGCGCAAAGCGTCTGCGGGGTTTTCTATGCGGGGTGGGGTCCCATGGGCATAGATGAGATACTTGACAGGTCGCTCCCTGGTGAGCCTGTCCACAGTGCAGCGCAGCAACTCCAAGCTTCCATGGCGCTTAACCTGCAGCCACTTTAGTTGTGGAACCACGTCAACGCGTTTGTAATCTCCTCCCTTCATAAACTTGAACCACACACGGCACATCCACGTGTTCACGGGGTCCAAGTCACCGTACTCGCCATGGAAAAGGTCCGTGCAGGCAAGAGCTCCACTGGCAGAATCATAAATAACGTACTCGTTCGTCTCATCATCGCCGGCAACTCGCACAAGATCGATATTGGGTGTAATATGGTGCTGAGACACGTCGCCAAGCGGACGGACGCGAGGCGAGCGTCGTACTTCGTCGTCAGCGTCCTGCCAGTTAGAAGCAGGGGAATGTTGAAGGAACAGCCTGCAGACGTTGTCCCTGTCTGCAGCGGCGGCAGTGGCGGCGGCGGCGTCGCTGACCTCCTCCGCGTTGGCGCACTCACCCGCTTCCACCTCGGGGAAGGAGAGGCCTGTGACACCGTTGCCCATATCCATGCAGCCGCCCACACGTCGCTCCTCCGCCTGTTGCGGCCGGTGCGGCGCGCCACGAGGGTGTGCGGCTCCGCTGCAGAGAATCTCGGCGTCCGGAAACGCCTCTGCCCACACGTTCACACTGCCCCACGCCTGTCGTGTAGGAACAACAATGGTTTTTACCACACGCTCCTCCTCGTTGAGTTTTCGCACAGTCGCGCCAAACGTTTTGGGATCGGTTGCGATAGGATTGTAAAGCACAGTGTGGGCCCCGTCCCGCTCAACTAGTCGGCGTGTCTTTTCTAACGCCGCCTGCTCCTCCTCGGCGGAGTGGCTTTGGCGCGTGAGAGAGCGCAGCGGCGAATTCTGGGCGAAGTGGGAGAAACCGCCGTGGCCGCTGCTGCTGTGGCGTTGGTTGGCCGCCGTCTTGCGCCAGCGGTGACGCAGCGCGCGCTCCTCCCACGCCGCAGCGTCTTCTCCAAGGCGTTGCTGCCGCTCCGCCCTCTCAGCCGCCTCTTCCGCGTCGCTTGTGAAGGTCGGCATTCTCCCCTTCGCCGCGACCGTGTAGTCCGTCAGAAACACCATCGTGTTGTCCAGCTTACTGCTGTCGTCCCGCATGAAGTGCAGTCCCTTGATGATCTTCATCACGCTCTGGCACTCCTCGGTGAGGTGCAGCTGCGGGGAAGGCTGGGAGGGGTCACTCTGCTTCTCAATGAAGTAGGGGTGGCTGTACACGTCGGCGGCCAACTTGCCGCGAAAGAGCACCGCCAGCGCGGCGAGCCCCTGTGGAAATGGCAAAAACCCGCGGACGACAAACACGTTAGGGCTATGCACGTCCGTGATGAGGGTGCAGTTCCTGCGCAGCTGGTCCTGCATCATGTACGCGGCCTTTGACATCATCCTTCCCCCCGCCCCTTTCCCCCCGCGCGGCGGCCAAAGAGCTCGCCACGCCACCAGAAGCCAAAATACGACCGGGGCGGGGTGGTACTACACAACCCCGGCAAGCACGCACGCAACGACGACGGCGGCGGTTGCTGGCCGCTGTACGCTACCTCAGAACGACGCACAGCTAAAGGGACAAGACAGGGAAAGGGGGGGAACGCAAGGTGCATCCAGAACGTTTATTCCACCTTCGCGCATTTATTGCATGCCCCATTTTAAGCAAAATGGCAGTAACAACAACAACAACAAAAGAGCACGGCATTGCAACCCTCCGCATCAGTTTTCCCACCCACGAGCAACAACACCACCCACCACCAAATAAAAGAATATATCCGTGCACATCTATGGTCTTTCTTCGTACCTGGGTTTGCCGTTGCTGCCTTGGAAGCCTGCAGGTGTCGACACGCATGCGGGAAGCCTACGCTCACGGCGAGGCCACAACCTCATACAGTGCCACCAGAAACACCCACATAGAGTACACCTCACTGGTGTACCCCTTGACGTACACGCCGATCGCAAAACTCACTGCATTGGTGCCCACCTCATGCACCGCGGTCTCGAACACCTGCTGCAGGATACATTGATAGGCTGCGTCATTGGGTTGATAGGCGGCATTCACGGGGCTTCCCATAATACAGAGACTGGGCCTTGTTACGTCCGCCCTGGCGTCGCCACCGGCGGCACGACTCCGGTCCTCCCCTTCTCGTTGGCGACGTCGCAAGGGGTCCTTCAACAGGTCTTCCCTAAAGTACTCATTGAGCATCTCTCTGGCTCGCACCGTCACGGCCTCGTGCCGCACACTGGCATGCTGGCAGAGCTCATCCTCGGCATCCTTCAGAAAGGCCTGGAGGATTGGGGCAACGCCGTGGTGAAAGGCCAGGTGTCGGTTGTTGCGCCACCCAACCAGCGCCCGACGGACGGCTTTGCGCAACTGCTGCTCAATCTCCCGCTCCTTCTGAGGGTCGGGCATAGAAAAGGGCAACGTCTCCCGCTGCAGGGCGGCAATAAAAGGCAAACAGGCCTCCACATTCTCGTCCTCGTGAGCAAAGCAGGGCAGCCAAAAATGTCGGTCGTTTAGGTTCCACTCCATCCGGTGTGGGGCTCCACTCAGCTGCACATTCGCCCACAGCTGATTGTGCGACACCACCATGTGGACGTCGCGAAAGAAGGTGAGGTGCGGGTTGTGTACTGGGCTCACCCAGCCTGTGCGGGGGTCAATGAGGCGAAGCTCACCAGCAAAGGAGTGCAGAACCAACACTACGCGATGATGGATGACGCCTCTCCCTGTCACCACGAACGTCACCTCCTCTGGCGCAAGAAACCGCAAGAAGTGCGCCAGCAAAAGGGAAAGCTCCTCGTAGTCACCTGCACGTACGCGAAGAAGCTCCGCGTTTGTGCTCCACACATCCTTGTCGCCCCACGTCAGCGGGTCCGTCTGAAACGGCAACAACGACACGAAGCGAATAGCCTCCTCTACTGTTGTTACAGTCAGTGGCGGCGGACCCCCATTCGCAAGAAGGTAACGGCACACCAGCGTGAAATCCCCCGTGGTGCAAAAGACAAATGGCTCAATCTCCCGCATGTGGGCGACGGGATTCACCGAGGAGAGTCGCTTTATCGCTACCAACGCATCACGTCTCCACTTCATCGCAATCTCGTGTAAATACTGCAATTGCGCCGAAACATTCAGCTGTGTCAGAAGCCGTGAAATTGTCGCGTGGTCAAGTTCCCCGTGCGTGGCGCGGCCAAGTGGCGGCCAAAGCGCAACGTACAACTGAATCGAAGGGGGCGAGTACGTAGATGAGCCACGACGCAACTTTGCAGGGTTCGTGGCAGCGCTGGCGTCGCGTTGGTCTGGGGCGTACCCCAGCGCCCAGCGCGGGGTGGAGAGGGGAAACTGCCCCTCCATGCGGGCTTGGTCGGCCTCGTAGAGGGTAAAAAACGGCAGACGCAGCGTCCCCAGCAGGCGGCGCTCCGTTCGGTAGTGCGTCTCGTGGGAAACGACTCCCGTGAGCAGCGAGGTTGGGGCCATCGGGATCTCAACCTTGTCGTACACGGAGATCACAATGTCGTCCTCAATCAGGGAGAGGGTTTCGTCGTCAAAGTCGGGCGGGGAAAAGGGAATGTTGAGGGTTTCGAACCACGCCGGCGAGGTGCCGACCTCGCTGCGTGAGACGACGGTCTCACAGACAAAAGTGATTTCAACAAAAGGCTCCAGCGGTGTGCCATCCGCGCGTTGCGGCAGCGCTGCCGCCTTCATGATGTGCACAACAATGCGAGTGTCTTGCTTCACCACAAGGGTCTCGCGGCTTATTTTGTCTATTTTCGGCCGCTCCTCACGCCGCGGGTTTAGTTGACTTTCCGGGGTCAGGCGGATGCCCCTCACCGGGCGCAGCTTTGGCAAAGTGACGTGCCGCTCCAGAATTTCATGATCCTCGAGCTCGCGGGAGGAGCGGCGGCGGGACTTGAGGCGGCGCAGGCGCTCCTGCCACAGCTGGAGTTTGCGCTTGCGCGAAAGTGGGCTGAGGAGGAGTGCGCTGGGGAATAAATCCAGCTCCGAATCGCCAATCGAAGGATAATCTGAGGGCAGCTTAAACTTCGCCTCACGTCTTTCGCGTACGGCGGCGCGTTCTATGCGCTGCTGCAGCTCGCAGCACTCCGAGTCCTCCAGCGGGATAGGCTGCGAGAAAAGACGGTCCTCCGCCACATCTTGCGGGGCGGCATGGGCGGCGCGAAACAACCAGCGTCGGTGAAGCAGCTCCAGTCGCCTGCTTCCGTCAGCGCCTTGCAGCGGGAGCGGTGGTCGCGCGCGGACGGCGCGACGCTGCCCTTTACGTCGCGTCGGTTCTGCGGCGCCATCGCTGGATCCCAACGGATCGGCCGCCGCCCCTTCAGGCGACGCCGCCGCGGCCCTTCGCAGTTCCACGTAGTGGGCCCTAAGGGTGGCCAGCAAGGGTCCGTACTGCGGATCCAGCGGATCCGCCTCGCCGCGCAAGAACAGGCCCTCAATTTCCTCCACAGTCATCCCCTGCATCGTCGTCCACGTTGTTGAGAGTGAAAGAACGCCTGGCAAGACGCCCCTTCCGTGCTTGCCGTAGGTCGTGCCACGGTAGGAAAAAGAAATAGGGGCCTGCAACGGAAGCAGCAGATGCGCCCGTGTGAGCGCAGGTGGAACATTGACGGTGGCAACCACACAATCGCTCTCCGACCCGCCCACTGAGACAATGTGCAGGAGTATCTCTTGTGGTTCCTGCATCGTGCGTAGCTCAAAGGTCTCATTATAAAAGAGAACCTTTAAAGGATTCAGCGCACGTGGGGCCGTGCACCCCACAAACTGTGGGGGCACCGCCATGTTGGTGCGAGCAAACACGAGCACCTGAAAAGAAGCCACGTCGCCCTGTTGCAATGTAGGCGCCGGCGACGATAGTTGCTGACCTCCGTCAAGGGGAGCTTGGGGCGATGCAGTCACCCCCTCAATGACAGGCGTGTACTCTAGCAAATCCTCATCTTGAGTGGGAAGCGTGCTCCTCCCCTCTCCGTGGCGTCGCAAGTACATGCGAAACGGCGCAGTTGGCGGCGGCGGCGTCGGCGGCCCTGGGCGGTCGCTCAGCAGGGACACAGCTCCCGCAGAGAGGCCCAAGAACCCGCGCGGCAATCCAAACCCCTCGCCACCGTCAACTTGCGATGGCGGCTCGAAGGGGAACGTGGCAGTCGCCTCGTCCAGGCCTGCCCCGACACTGGACTGCGGAAGTCGGGCAAAACACTCGTCGGGGTTTTCACCGCGCAGCCGTGCAAGTTGCCGCCAGGCAGACAGCATCGCCTTAAGATACACGCGCTCAAGCTCACAGGTGAGATTAAAAAGTCGCAGCAGTGAGTCTTTCAGGTGTTTCTGCTCCTCCGTAGGGTGAGGCTGCCGCCCCAGGTTCTCTATCTGGTCCTTGTAGAACCGACGGCTCTTAAGCTGCGGCAAAAGGTTCAACTCCACCATGCGATACTGCTCGTAGCTGTCCAAAATCGTAGAGACAAGTCTGTCCTCCTGCGTAAAGGTCACCCACGGCTTGGTACCGCCGTGCCGCTGCTGCCGCTGGGGCCGGTGAACGGCAACGGAGGCCACTGCAGGGGTGCTTGCAACGCCCGCAGCGTGAAAAATTCCGTCCTGCAAAGCTGGTGTCGCAGCCTCCCTGAAGTCTTCACCGGTATGCTGCCACGCAACCGTTGCGGTGGGGCGAAAGCGGATGTAATCAAGATGAATAAAAAACGAGTGATACTTCCTGGCGTCTCTGCCTGCCTCCCTTGACTGGCAGTCGTCGCTCGAGCGAGGGATAAATAAGGCATTGGCGTCGTACAGGGGACGAACATCCCCATTCGTGATGTAATCCGCATGAATGCATGGCGTCTGCGCCCGAAATCCGTCGCTTATAAGTTGGGCCCGGTTTCTGCGCAGATGCGTCGGCGATGCAAAGAGGTCCATAACGATGGACTTCCTCACGACGGACGCGTGCAGGCGTTGCACCGCCGGACACAACAAAACCCGCTGTGTCCCGTCGTACCCGCCACGGTCTAGAATACCCAACAGCTCCATCGCCGCCGCCGCCCCCTCCGCATCGTCAGACATCATCGCAAGTAACTTATCCTGCCGAGCCACGAGAGACTGCGAGAGCTGGTGAGTCGCGCGCATCCCGCTACCGACGTACAGCCATGGCGGCACAAGCTGCGTCAACGTTTCACAGGCAGCAGGCTCCTCAGCCGCCTTCGTGATGGCAGTCGCCCCTCCACCCTCCAGAAGCGGCGGCGACAGCAGCGCCATTTCCCTCTCCTCCCCCTCCTCTCTATCGTTGCCTTCAATCCGCTCAAGCACTCTCGCGGAGGATCGGCAAAGCCCACCGTCCTTGCCTTCCGCCACGGCCTGTTCGAGGGCCTGCGCAGCTTCCACATCGGCGGCTAGCTGACGCACCGCCACAGCCGCCACACTGTCACTCGGCTTGGCCCGCACCCAGGTGGCGTTCAGAAACAGCTTCAACTCCGCCAACCGGCGCAGCCACCAGGGCGGCCGCGCCCTTGCGGAGGCGTCGAGCGTTTGCAGATGCGTCCGTCCATCCGCCGCGTCTTGCATCGCCTTGACCCTCATGAAGAGTGCATCCGGGTCGTCGAGGTTGTAGCCCTCCGCGTTTGCGCCGGGCGTCTCCGCCGATGCCGCAGCGGCGGCGTCAAAGGCCAGCAGCGACACCCGCGCCTCACCCCCGCCGTCGCGCGTCCCCCGCTTCTTGAATGCGGACCGCAACACCCCCGTCTCGTGGGTGTTTGGCGTGCCCACCGCACCGAAGAGGTCCGTCCCCTCAAACAGACGCTGCCCCGTGACGGAGAGGGAGGAGGCACGTGCGGAGTGGGCGGCAACGGCCGCCCCGGCATTCTCTCGGCTGGCGCGCAGCGGCGCGCCAAAAAGCCTGGAGGAGGACCGTGAGCCCAACGGCGTGCCACCACTGAGCCTCTCATTTGGCATGACAACCCTTTCCCTGCCCTATGTCCTCTTTTTAATTATTCCCCGTGTCTCCTCTCTCCCTCTCTCTTTCTGTTGCTCCCTCTCTTTGCTCGTGGATAAAAGTCGCTTCCCCTGCGAGGGTCACAGTGCACCACCACGACCCTTCCCACGCCTCCCCCCGCTCCCTGCTGTGTCTATGTGCTCAGATGCGGTATTCCCGCTCAAGGAGACTGCAGAGAGGCAAAAAGACACAGGGATTTAATGTGCATGTTCGCAGCGGCGGATGCAGCCGCCTCGTCGTAGCTTCATTGAGAAGTCAAGGCAACAACTCGGCAGAAGAAAAACGAGAGGCATAATAACACCAACCACACTCGCAAACAGCAAAAAAAAGAACGGAAAAACTTAGAATGTGGAGCTGTCCATTGTTGGCGGATAATCCCTCCGGTGTGACGAGGACTCCCCGCATATAATAGGAAGTCTGGTTACTCGCCTGCGCCAGGCAGACACATGGACAAAACCCTGCCCCTCCTATTCAGCCTCTTTTAAAGCTCACGAAGTGAACAGATCCTCCGCCGTGGGTTCACTTCGACTCACAGGTTCCTGCTCAGCTACCGCGGTGGATGCCGTCGACGACACTGCGGCCGCAACGATTTCTCCACCGTCATCGCATGTCGCGGTCCCGTGAGGCCGCTGAGTCCTTGTCCGCAGCTCGGCAAGCGCCGCCTTGTGCCGCGCAAGGCGGTCCAAAAAGTCCGCGTCCACCTTGTCGCTGTAATAATGGCGCAGGCACCGCAGCAGGGCATCAATGTGCGGCGTCTGCAGCTCCTCCACCCGGTCCCACAACGCGGTCAAGACAGGTGGTAGAAAGCGCCGGTGCGGGGCGAGCGCGGACAAGGGCGCGCCTGCAGCGTCGCTCTTCTCCCTCGCTTCGCTGGAGGAGGTGCACGTGGTGGCTTCCGCCTCCTTGTCGCGGCCGTCGTCGCCCTCGCCCCTCATGACGTCCGCCCCATCATTCTCTGCGGCCTCCCGCGGCGGCGGCGGAAAGTGGAAGCAAAGCGCCATGGTCAAATCCACCAACTCGGCCACAGGCAACACCGCACAGGAGCGTCGCGTTAGACGCGCCGCAGACGCCGTGGCCACAGCCTCGTCCCGCACCTCGCACTGGCAGAGTGCGATCAGGAGCTCCGCAAACGGGTAGCGTGGCACCCGCGAGACTGACAGGCGCACCTTTGGAGTCCACTCGGCGCGCTGGGTCCGTAGCGCGTTTGCATCCCTGGCGGTTGCCTCATCCTCATACATCTGCAGGAACAGCTCCCGGCAACCGTCGTACGTGGAGTGGAGAATGGTGCGATTCACGGGACTGCACAGCCACAAGGTGCGGCCACAGTCGGCAGCCTCCTCAGTGGCGTTTGCCGCTGCAAAGCAAGACAATAAGGCCGGCATGAGGTGGAGGACGTCAGTCGGGTAAAGATCCATGACGACGGGGCGAGTGCGCAGCAGCACCCAGGGCATAAACGTGGCAGCGACCTTCTCCTGCCCCGCATGAATGAGAGTTGTGAGGAGAACAGCAAGCGCGCTTGGCGTGCAGCCAGCAAGAAGATTATCTGCCCATGCCGCCGCCGCTGATGGCGGTGGTGGTGGCTCCCGCGTCGGAGCAGCGTCTTTGGCCTTTGCAGGGACAGCAAGGCCTTGATAAATAGTCCAGAGGCGATGCAGCAGGACGGCGAATACAGGACGATCCCTTCCATCTAGGGCCGCAAACCCATTAAGTGCCAAAACAACGTCCTCCGCCTCCAGAGATGAGGCCGCCTCCTCCATGAGACGCGTCCGAAGCTGCTCCCATACATCGCGGAACACGCTTCCATTGCCGTGCGGCCGCCGCGTGAACTCGTCCGCCATCGCGTGAAAGACAGGAAGGAGTAGTCGCCATGGCGCCTGGCGCACATCTGCAAGAAGAACACGGCAGAGACGGGAGTAGAGGTGCGGGAAGAAGACATCGGAGCGCTGCAAGGCGGCGACCAGCGGGAGCACCGTGTCCAGGGGGACAGTGTCTTGTAGTAAAAGCCTGCCGGTCTGCCTCACAACCGCCTGCTTCGCCAAGGCGCAGTCACGGCTGTAGTCGTCATGAGACAAAACGTTCAGCAACGTCGCCGCCTGCCCAACGTCCAGCTGGCGGGCGACGTCAACGGCTGTGAAGCGTGAAAACCAACGCTGCACCGAAAGCGGATCCACCGTCTCTGGTAGCTGCGACGTCAGCGCGGCGATGCCCCGCACTAGCCAAGGCACCTCCAGCGCCGAGGCAATGGCGGTGAAGTGCATGATGACGCCTTCCTGCGAGCGACGGGGCAGCCGCGCCAGGGGGGACACGCAGATCCCAGCCACGAAGCTCCGCAGGCCCAGGGTTTTGCCGTGGCGTCGAAAGACGGCAAGCGCCCGAGCCGCGGACGGCGCGGGCGGCGGCGGCGGCGACATCAGCGCGGCGGCCAGCAGCGAGAGTCCCCCCAGCTGCGCGTCTGCCAGGGCCGCCTCGTCGGTGAGGAGGCGGTGCGCCAAGCGAGAGTGCAGCGGGTGGTACGGGACATGCGAGCCGCGGCGCAGCAGCGCCTTCGTCACGCGAGCGACATCCGCCGTGGAGAGTTCATCGAAGCAGCTCTCCAGCGCCGTTGCCGCCAAAAGGTACACCTCCGCCCAGCGGGCGGAGTTCACCGCGGCCAGGGCACAAATAAACCTCGCCGCGCTCCCCTCCGCGGCGGCGGCCGACACCACCAGAGCCGCAGCCGGCGCCACACTGGCGCCGTCCCGACTCACCTGCTGGTGCAACGCCGACGCCCGCGCCAGAATCGCCTCGATCAGCGGAAAATAGTCCTCCTCCGCGCCAACAGTCGCACGGCCGCCACCACCGCCCACAACACTCAGGAGCTCAGAGCATTTGTCCAACGTCATAGAAAACAGGTGCGGCAGCCATAACGCTGTGAGTTGAGTAACGGCACTGCCGGACACGGCGTAGCGGGAGTAGCACCGCGTCAACTCAAAGAGGACCTTCTCGTCGGTGGCACGGGACTGCAGAGTCGCCACCACTTGGGGTAAAAGAATGGTGTGCATGAGACGGTGCAGTTGAAAGTGATTCGTCACCTGCAATCGCCCAAGCAAGCGGGCAAAAGCGAGGGCGGTTTCACCCTGAAACGGCACCTCCTCCGAGGTCACGGCGGTTGCCACAAAGCGGGCAGACAAAAGGTGATTTGTGGCCACGCGCTGCGGACCAGTCAGTGGAGCCGCGGAGGTGTTGTAGCGCCGGAGCAGCCGCGTCCCGATTGGGCCAATGATGTCGTCGGAAAGGGCATCGCATTGCTCCATGCACACCAACACCTGCACGAGCACGGACGGTGGCAACAAATCATTTAACTCGCGGGTGCGTAGCGCAAGCGCTCGTCTGACACGCTTGAACTCGCGCAGGAGCGACGGTGAAGCTCCAAGCGAAGCGGGGGGTTTGGGCTCACGGCCGCGGATCTGCCGCGCCTTGGAGGCACGCTGTGCCTGCACATAAAACCCCGGCAGACGGCTCCAGAGTACAACGACGAGGGCCGCCGGAAACATGCGCTCCGCACGCATGCCTGTGGCCCTCATCACCTCATCGACGACGCTAAGCGCCTCTGTGAGGGTCTCGCACGCCTCTGCCACCAACGGCAGGGACGGCGCGGTTGTGTCGGGGGCCTGCAGCAGCACCGGTATGGCGACCGCCCGCAGGCGGCGGGCCACGTCTGGCCACTTTTGAAGTGCCCTTTCAAGTTGCGCGTTAGTCGCCGCGGCGCCAACGAGGGGCGGCGGTGCCGAGTCGAGGGCCCAATGCATCGCCTCCAGCGCAGAGGTCAGCGCCTGCTCGTTGAAGCCCGGCGCCTCCGGGCCTCCGGGCCCCGCGTCACGTGTCACGCCGTTGCTGGTGGCGGACGCATCCCCACCGCCCGCGCCCGCGCCCTCGCCCCCTCGGCGGCTCCCGCGCAGTTGGTGCCGTTCCCCGCCGTCGCGCGCCACAAAAGTCGCCCCCGTCGATGACGCGTGGCGCCGCTGCTGCGGGAGGCGCACGGCGGCAGCAGCGGCGGGGTCGCGGGCCCTGCGCCCCACCCCGCACCCCCGCAGCCGCGCCAGCAGCCAACGCATCGTCGCCCTTCACCCGCCTTCCCGCCGGCCTGCTGCGCAACAGCAAACGGCGCAGCGGCAGCCGCAAACCAAAACGGGAACAATCAATGTACTTTTGTCGTTTGGTGGTGGCAATGGTGTTTTTGGTGAAGGCCAAAGAATCAACACGAGAAAAGGGGGAAAGAAGTTTGGGGGGGAAGCCCGCAAGTAGTCATCACCGCCAATTTGTTTCCTCCCACCACGTCCTCCTCACAAGGGCACGCAGAAGCACTGGCAAAGTCTGTGTGTGTGTGTGTGTGTGTGTGTGTGTGTGGCATCTGTGAGTCAGTTTGGGGGAAAAACACAACAAATAAAAACAACAAACGCATAAGTCCATGCGTTGCTTGCTTGCTCCTCACAGGGAGAAGAAAAGCATGGCACATCCATCAATTCGATCCTGCCGCACACACCCCACAACCACAACGTGCCCCAGCATCTACTGCATCTGCGCCTCACGACTACGCCTGTCGTCATGCAGTCGCACTCCTCGACATGAGTGCTTCAGCAGAGACGTGCACCTCGGCGGAGCTGTACCGCAGGGTAAACGTCACTCCCCCTCCGCCGCACCAGCGCGCAAAGGCAGCTGCGTGACCACTTGCCGCGAAGATGTCTTCAATGGTGTCGCCAACAATGCGGGTCCGTAACGGATTGTTTTGCTTGTAGAGAAGGTACACCTCGGCACCATCGTCAAAGCGCACCCACAATGTTCCGTCGGAGCAAAAGCTCTCCGGGGGCTCGCGTGCGCCACGCGCGACGGCGGGGAGGCCAACCTGCTCCTCCACAGCCGCCAGCACGTCTTTTGGGTGCATGTGGGGGGTGAGCAGCAGGACAGGGCGCGGGGCGCAAACGGGGCAAGCAGGATTGGGAGAGAGCTCCGTCACGTACGACGTCAGCCCGCCGGCGTCGGCGGCGCCGTTGAAGTACGAAAAGCAGTGCATCGATGGGGCAACGCCTGTCAACAGCTTTATGAGCTCGAGGGACGCCTGACCGGCCACCAGGGCATTGGTGAAGCCGACCGCTGGCACAACGTTCTTCACGACCCCGAGTGCGAAGGAGCAGTCAATGTCGGGCCCCGTGATGCCAAAGGCCTCCTTGCGCTTCTGCGCCTCTGCGCAGACCCACGCAATGTGCGCCGGGTTGTCGCTATCGAGCGTCTCCCCCGGACGCAGCACGTCCCAGAGCCGGAACTGCACATAAAGCACGCAATGCTCCGGGGAACGCGGAACATTCTCCAACGTGCAGAACGGCACCGTCTCCCGCGGCGGGTAAATGTCGAGGTCGCACTCAACGCAGGCCGTCGCTCCCGTGTCTAAACGAATGACGCGGCAGGAGGCCTCGTACCCCTCCGTGCCGGTGTCAATGAACGGGATCGAGCTGGTGATGCGTTTCTGCTTGCCTCCCTTCGCCCCCTCCGCCGCGGCGTCCACAATCTCCCAGACGGCAATCTCTGCAAGCTTCTGATTCATCCACCGCCGCGCCGCCACGGAGTCTAGCGCCAAAATAACGGCATGAAACTGCCGATAGAAGTCGTCGTGCTGGTCCTCGAGGCGTCCAAACACCGCATTTACCCTCACACCCGGGCAACGCCGCCGCACAAACGCAGCAGCCACCTCCGCCTTGCTGCGCCCAATGTCCGCCTCCGAAAAGAGAAACTGGCGGTTCAGGTTGGAGAGCTCGATGGTGTCCATGTCCACGACGGTGATGTCCGTGAACCCGCTCAGCGCCAAAGTGTGCAGGACCTCGCAGCCAATGCCGCCGGCCCCCGCCAAAAGGAGGCGCACCTCATCCCAGCTGGTGTTCTCCGCGCTGTACCCCGCCACGGCGAAGGCAGGGGGCGGAGAACGCCGCACAAGGTGCTGCAGCCCGCGCTCCGTGGTCGTGAAGGGCGTACGCGTGCCGACACCAGACATGACTGCCGCCACCTGCCGCCCGCCCAAACACTCCCGTGCTTTTTGTTCGCTTTGTTTATTCTTCTTCCTCCTCCTCCTTTTTTCACTAGTTTTTTTTTCTTTTGGCTTCCTATTCCGCCCCCCGCGGCTGCCTTTTGGGTCGGCAGACTTCACCCACTACCCGCCTAAAGGAAGCGGGGAGGCAGCGCATGCGCACGGCAGAGAGAACGGCGCGCGGGGGGGCTCGCCGCTTCGCCGCACCAGCAGCAGGTGCAACGCGGCACAACCTCAACTGCGTGCGCGTGGCCCCAGTGGAAAACGCCCCCCAGCGAGAGGCGCTACATCATAAAAGTGGAGGGGAGGGCAGTGTCACGCAAAACAACACAAAACGGTGGGTGCACACGCAGAGGATCGTACAATGGCGAAGGAAGCACGCACGAGGTGGGAGCCATTGACAACTCCCCCCCTCACCGCCGCCGCTCTCCGTCCCGAGCAGGCCCGTGTGTGCACCCCTCTCCCTACACACGCAGACACTTAGGCACATACCGCGGAGAACCTCGCAGACTCTCAGTTCTTTCTGAACTCCTCGCACTATTCAACTGAGAATAGAAAACCACAAAAAAAAAGCAAAAAAAAAACAACGAACGTCGAATAAAATGGCGGCAGGAAACATCTGGAGCAAAAGAAATTTTTCCGCATCCCCCTTCGGCCTCCGCTCCGGTCACTCTACTCCCACCGCTTTCTAGCTTATCACTCCCTCCCGTTCGGAGAGGCTTGGCAGACAAGCACATCTGCACCCTCTTTCACTGGACACACGCACGGAGCTTATGGTCACTTCGAGTGTGAAGTTGCTTTGCCTAACCAGGCGGTACCTATGCCCTTCCCCCGTGGGGGGCGGCGGCAACCCGGGACCCTTGTCGTGCTTTCTCTACCATGCCGCGAACACGCTGCGGCCGCCGCGAGGCACCATGGCTATCCCTCAACAGCTGATGGCTGATGCCAGCGACAAAGTGCAGGTAGGCCTCTTGCGCAAGCACCCCAGACGAGTAGTTCCCGTAAAAGGACTCGGTCAGCTGCTTGTAGTGGAGCGTTGGGCCAGGAGCAGCGGGCGCGTCGCCGACATCCTGCCATCCCAGAGTTGGGGAGGTAACGCTACAACTGACCGCGGCATCCGAAACGGCGCCGTCGCGGTGGGCATCCGACGCCCCGTGCTCCGGCCGCCACGCAACAGGCTCCCCACCCTCCCGTGGACAGCCCCGACTGTCTCGCAGCAGCGATACCCTCTTCTTTGGGCCCTCGATTGGGCCGAACGGCACGAGCGCCAGAGCGCCGCCGCTGCTCTCAACATCGGCACCGCTTCCGCTAACTGGCGTCGCTGGAGATGGCGACGGCGACGCCGCACCGGCTTCCAGCGCCATGAGGCCCTGCTCACGTATTTGCACGGGCAGAGCTTGTGAGCCAACCCCCTGGAACCTCGGCGCCGCCCCAGGAAGGCCACGAGGCGCGGCCTCCATCGCAGCCTGCGAGGCGGCATGACTAAGATAATACGGCCGCGGCCGCCTCTCGGGGGGCGCAGCGCCCGCAAGGACAGACGACGCCGTCCGTCGACGCAGGCGATCCGCCTTCCCCAGCAGGTGCGCGGTGTTCACCACGGCCTGTCCAATCTCCGCATGATACGCCACGCGTCCGCCCCGCGTGCAGCTCAGTGGGTCGTAGGTCGTGGCAACACCCCCGCCACTGAGGGCGGTGGCGTCCCGCAGCGCCGGAGAGCGCCGCTGCGGGGCCCACAACTTCGAGGACGCGTGCGACGCCGCCACTCCGCCATTCACATCTCTACTTCCCCTCCACCTCGCAGTGCCCGGCGCCGGGGCCCCGCCCGCCGGCCTGGTCGGGTCCGAGTGGCGAATGAGAAAATGGCGCATCCACGTCCCCGCGCTGCCGCGCGGCCGCTTATTCTCCTCCTCGCACTCATAAAATGGAACGGACGCGGAGGAACCGCGACTCCCGTGGTTCATCGCGGCAGGACACACACACGCACCGCGACGAAGAGGCGCCGTGACGCCGGCGCCGAAACGACGGGGCGGCTAACGCCTCGAGCCCGGCCCACGAGAAAAACGGACCTTCACGACTACTGCCCGACGCCCCCTCCGCAAACAGAAGTCAGAAGGAAAGCCGGGGCAGCGTGCGACTACCCACCGCCGGCTAAGGCACAGCCCCCCCTCTTCCTACAGAGCGAGCGAGAGAGCGAGGGAGGGAGGGAGGGAGGGAGAAGCAAGGTGGGGAGGAGTCACAGCGGTTTGCCGCGGGGCGCTCTCAGCACTCCGCACGCACGCACAGTACAAACAAGACGACTTCAAGGGCCCGGCGGCCAGGAAAGCAGCGCCCCCCGCACGCAATCACCAGGCGGGAGTCTGTAAAGTCCCCCGCAACCGCAACCGCCCGCTCCCTCTTCTCCGCGTGGAGAGGGCCGGTGGTGGCAGTAGTCGCAGTTGTGGTGGTGGCGAAGAGAGAAGCAGAGCGAAAAGACGGCAGCCGCCGCCCCTACACCAACGGGATGTTTAGAAAAAAAAAACGGAAAAGAAAGGAAAAAAACAAGTAATACCCTTA